GTTTTAGCTCTTACATTTAGATGTTTGATACATTTTAAATTCATTTTTGTTTGTAGCCTAAGGTAAGTGTCCAACTTCATTATGTCGCATGTAGATATCCAGTTTTCCCAGAACCATTTGTTGAAAGACTGTCCTTTTTCCATTGAATGGTCTTGGCGCCCTTGTTGAAAATCAATCCACCGTGTTTGGGAGGGTTTATTTCTGGGCTCTCACTATCTTTGTTACCATAGCTCTAGAGTAAGTTTTGAAGTCAGGAAGTGTATGTCCTTCAACTTCATTCTTCTTTTTCAAAATCCTTTTGGCTATTCGGGTCCCATGAGAATCCTTATGAATTTTAGAAAGGTTTTTATCTATTTCTGCAACAGACGCTGGTGGGGCTTTGATAGGAACTACACGGCATTGAATCTGCAGATGGATTTGGGAAGTATTGTCAGCATAACATATTAAGTCTTCCAATCTGTGAAACTGGACGTTTTCCTTATTTTTAGCTTCTGTTTATTCTTATAACCGCGTTTTGTAGTTTTCTGTGCACCTCCTTGGTTGTTTTTGTAATTATTTTATTATTTTTGATGCTACTTTAAACGGAGGTGTTTTTTTTTATTTCCTTTTCAGATTTTTCATCATTAGTGTGTTACAAACAACTGATTTTTGTGTGTTGACTTTTTGTCCTATAACTTTGCTGAATTTACTCATTAGCTCTAGTTGCGTCTTTGCCATTTTTAGAGTTTTCTACAGATAAGACATGTTATCTGTGAACAAAGATAATTTGAGTTCTTTCTTTCCAATTTGAAGGCTTTTTATTATTTTTTTCTTGCCTGATTGATCTGGCTAGAGCTTCCAATAATAAACTTTGTTGACTAGAAGTGTCAGAAGCTAGCATCCTTGCCTTCGGGGGAGAGCGTTCCATCTTTCACCAGAGAGCATGATGGTAGCTTTGCGCTGCTGCATTTTGTTACAGACCAGAGTTAATCCAATCCTCCTGCTGTGTCTGACTGTAGTTTACTTGTCCCAAAGGAACCTACTCAACAGAGCTCTGAGACGTGTATTTTTCTGGCTAAGCAGCAATCTCATTTGGCAAATGAGATTTGCCAAATTTGGCACTTTCAAAGGTGGTGTTTAGATAATAAAATTGGCATATTTAATTGATATTTTTGGTACTCTTAACACTCATTACATTTGAAACTTCGAGGGAAAATAACAGCATGTTTCCATAGATTGAACACACCCAAGAGTTCCAGAGCGCAGGCAGTAGGCTGGCTCAGAGCGAGGCAGGGAGAAAGTGGACGTGGCGGCCGTAGGAGGCATGGTGGGGGCTGTCTGGTGGGGGGGTGAGGGGGGCGCAGAGAGGGTCCTGCAGGACCGGACGAACTGTTCTCTTTGGCATCAAGAGGGAGCCAGGAAACACTGACCCCTCCCCCAGGCCCTCAGGGATGTGGGTGGAGGGGGAGCTAAGGCTGTAGTTAGGGTAGAAGGTGGGGCACTGTTTGGAAAGGCTGGAAGGTGGTCCGTGGAGAGCCATCAGACCCACGTGGCAGTGGGGAGGCCTCTGAGAGGCGTCACGGTGTGGCCCTGGGATCTGGCAGCAGTGGGTTGGGTGGGCAGATCAGTCAGGGCTCTCCAGTGAAGCAGAGCCTGTCTGTGTATACATAAAGAGGGTTATTGTAAGGAATTGGCTCACGCGACTCTGGGGGCTGGCAAGTGAACTCGGCAGGGCAGGCCGGCAGCCTGGGAACTCAGGCAGGGGTTCGCTGCAGTCTGGAGGCAGAGCCCTGTCTTCTCCGGGAAACCCGAGTCTTTGCTCTCTAGGCCTTCATCTGATTGGATGAGGCCCACCACTGTCTGGGGGGAAACCGCCTTTACGTCAAGTCAGGTGATTGCAGTTCTTAGCCACTGCTGCGAAATACCTTCTGAGCAACCCCCAGCTTGATGTTTGGTTAGTGGCTGGCTGCAGAGCCTGGACAAGTCGACACATGACACTGAATATTACGGGGCAAGGTTGACTTACAGGCCGGAGAAGTTGGAAGGCCTGGGGGCTTGCAGGAGGCTGGGGGGAGGTTACCAGCCGCGGCCCTGCCCCGAGTTAGGGGGCGGCAGCTCCAGCCTGGAGCACCCCCATCCCCTTGTTTGCACCTCCATGTCTCATCACTGGCCCTTGTTAGCCCAGCGCCCTGTTCTGAGCTGTTCTTTTTGTGTTTATGGTGGTGATTTAAAGTATCCTAGAGAGACGCTTGCAAAAAAACATAATTGGTTCGTGGTAAATGGTACAGATTTACGATGCTTCTATTCCTTTTAGCTATACCAACAATTGAGCAGTGTTTTAATATTTGGGGTCTGTTTCAGTTTTCTAGGACCACTGTCACAAAGTGCCCCAGAGTGGGGGGCTCAAACGACGTGGATTCTCCCGCAGTTCTGGAGGCTAGAAGTCTGAGATTGGGGTGTTGGCAGGATTTTCGAGGCCTTCCTCCTCGGTGTGGCTGGCTTCCTTCTCCCCGTGTCACTGCATGGTCTCCCGCTGTGTGTGTAACACCCTCTTCTAGTGGGTGAGGACCCACACAAACACCTCATTTTAACGTAATTACCTCTTTAAAAGACCCTGCCTCCAAATTCTGAGGTATTGCGTGTTAGAGTTTCAGCAAATGAATTTTTTTGGGGGGCTGGCGGGGGGAACACAGTTCTGCCCATAACCAGGTCTTATCTTGATTTTTTTTTTTTGCTATTTTGTTGGTGGGATTAATATCTCTCATTTTATGTCTCCCCCAGTCTTTCATTTTTCCTCTGGGAGGCTTTTATTTCTGAATTCTAAAAATATCAGACTGTAACCAGACTTTGCTAAAGATGTCTGAAATGCGAGGAGCCTTGTCCCGTGACAATTTCTGGTCTTTTTCAGGTCGGAAACCTGGGTTCCCTTTGCAGCTGACCTTTGTTCTCCGCGTCTCGCTGTCCTGGCCTCGCGTTACCGTTTACTGCTGCATTTCAGTCATTCTCTTCACGGGCTATTTTCAGTGTTCCTGGAATGTCTGCCCCGTGGATTTAGTTTTCTGCCGTTTGGATACTCCCAGGGGACCGTTCGTTTTGTCTTGGGCTGTTTCTTCCCTGTAGTTTTTCTTCTCTTCTCCTTTTCCCTGGGTTGCCTTTCTTTCATTGAGAGAAACAACCCACTTTCTAAATCTCTCTTATTGTTTTCATAAAAGTACTTCAGGGAATAGCCCTCCACGCCCCGGGGGGAGAACGGGAAGGTTTCGGAGCTGCTTTTCCCTGTGCCCTCGCTATGTGGTTCTTCCCGATGGCTGTCCTCGCTGCCCTGAAACGCAGCCTCAGAGGTGACTGTGCCTCCCCCCATGGGGATGTCCCCCTGTCGCCGGGCCTGTACTGAGGGGGGGTTCCAGCGAGGCAGCCCCTGGGCGTGGTGGGTGGCCCTCGGGGAGCTGTTTTGTCTCCACCCTGATGACCGGCGGAGCCCCCGTTGCGAAAGCTGCCCCGTGTGGATCCGATACGGAGAGCCCAGTAAGCTGGGAGTGGCTCTTCATCGGCGGTTACTGAAAATCAGGCTTGGCGGGGGCGCTGAGAGCCTCTGCTACCTGTGAGCTCACAGCTTATTTAGGCGGAGTGAGGCCAAGAAGGATTTACAACTTGGTGTGGCAGGTGGAAGGATGGATGGAAGCCCACCGTGTGGCCTGGGAGCCCAGAGTGGACACTGATTGAGCCGCCTTAGGGGGTGGTGGTTGGTGAGGGGCAGTCTGCGGGGCCTTCCTGGAGGAGGTGACCCCCCAAGCTCAGGCCTAAAGGGTAGTAAGTGATAGCCGGTGTCAGAGCTGGGACAGCACCTATAGGTACAAAGGCCCGAGAAAGCCTCATGTGGCCAGGGATTACAGCTTGTTCAGGGTCTCTGAGCCGGACAGGAGTTGAGGGTCCCCAGCCCCTCTGGGATTATGATGGAGATGATAGTTCCTGTTGCTGCTCTTCCTGAAAATGTTTTTAATCTCCGATGGTTTCTGGGTCTTTTGACATTATCTCTGGTCCCTCTCTCTTCCCGGAATCCACCAACTGCGTTCCAAAGTGTGACTCCCAACAGCCTTCTGTCCTCATGGGGATGAAACTCTACTTTCTAAGGTTTAGCAGGAAAGCGTATCCTCGAGTTCACGTTGTCGGTATTCTCTCGCAGGTCAGTTACCTGGCGTTGCACTTTGTTGTGTTCAGAGGCCAAGGCTGGCCCATCCCCAGCCCAGGCTATGCTGTCATTATAATTGTCCCTTGGTGCCACCATGTCAGCAGGGCGGGGCCTTGTCAGACAAGTCCGCTCCAGTCGCTTCCGGACTACACTGTATGCATCAGGCATGTGCTTCGTGCCACAGTAGATTAAAAAAAAGCAAAGAAAAAAGCAGAAGAGAAAGACGGGGTCTCTGTTTCCTGCTTGTTGGGAGCTCGTTGTAGGAGCTGGATGTGCCCTCTAATGCTGGGGGCGGCACGTCCGCTCACGGGGTGGGCGGGGGGTAGTGTCCCGTGAATGCTGTGCTCCAACGTGGCCTGTGGGGGAGTGTTGAGTCGCCGTCGTGGTTTGCTGCCCACTGAGCACGGTGGCCGGGAGAGCCGGCTTCTACGCAGGTGGTACCTACAGGACCCCGACGACGCTCGGCGCTTTTCTGGAATTGGGCTCCATTCGCATTCCCCACAGTGTGATGGAGTCCTCAGGGTGTTCATAGCTGTTATGAGAAAAGGGTCCAGAGGACATGGGGGTTCATTTCAGTGGGTCGAGGTCACCCCGGCCCCTCTGAGAGCTCCTCTACCCCACAGAGCCTGCAACCACACAGGGCGTCTCAGTGGTGCTGCTGGTGACAGTCTCCTTGCGTTGGTAGAATAGCCGCGTGCTTCCACCTGAGCAGACATCCTGCCCACACCTCTGCGTGTGTCCAGGGCGACCCAGGGGCCCGTTGCTCCTGAGCCAGTTGCGAGCCGTGCGTGTTGCCTCGGGCGTGGCTTCTCACAGTCTGTCTTTATTCCAGGTGCTGCAACGCAGTAAGTGTAATTTGAAGAAGGCCAGAAGGAACCCATGGCTTTAGCTGGCTGCCCAGATTCCTTTTTGCACCGTCCGTACTACCAGGTATGGGCGAGCATGGATGTCTGACTCTGGCAAGTGCCGCTGGTCAAGGGCCACGGCACACATGCAATTCATAACCTTGAACCATCCCATTGCGGGCAGGTCACCAGATGCTCGGCTGGGGCCGCTGGCATCCCACGGTGCCCGAAGGCACGCACGCTGCACAGGGTCCTTGCTTCGCTTCGGAAGCTCTCTGCATCGTTCCCCTTTGACGATGCCACCCCTTCCTAAACTGTTTTCCTGGTAGTGCAGACTTGCCGGCAGGGTGGGCCCTGAAACTCCAGAGGGCGAGTTGGAATGCTGGTGAACATGAGGGTGGTCGAGTGGAGATCAGAGCTTCTGTAAGGGCAAGGGCATGGCCAGGAACGGGCTTCTTAGCGGTGGCTTCTTGGCTTCATGGTCACGTGCCTTTTGTAGGTGGAGCGCTTTCCCCCGACCCCGCCAAGAGCATCGGGGTGGGCTTCATCGGGGTGCAAGTTCATCTCCGTGCCTTCACGTTCCTTGAGGCTTCTTCATGGGCTGCCGGGCAGCTTCCTTGTCCTTCTGAAGCAGATTTTAACTTTGAATGTCACCGTACGGTGCAGTGGGCTCTGCTGGAAGGAAGGGTCTTTGCGGCCTTGGGCTTGGCAAGTGGACCTTGGTTTGTCCTTGTCAGCCCTTCACCATCGACAGTCCGCGCACTGCCTGCTGTCGGCCTCCGTCTCCCAGGTGGCTTCCCGGATGAGGTTTTCCCGCGTGCTGTACCCCTGACCCACTGTCATTCTTCCCGGAACTTGCTTTTCCCTCCCTTAACCTGCGAAGTCTCTTTGTAGCTGCAGTGATCAGATTTTGCCTGTAACGTGGCGGCTGCAGAAGGACAAGTTTGTAACTTATTTGGTGTCCCAGTGAAACCAACCTTCGCAGGAAGGCTGGAGGTGAGGACGGCTGTTCATTGTCTCCCTTGAATTCGAGACAAAGCTCAAGTTGGCTTCAATCCAGAAAAAAGGGCTAGAACTCGAGCAGGCCTGTGATGTTGACTGGGGACTCACGGGCCTGGGCAGTGGGTGAGCTGGGCTCCAGGCTCTGCCCTCTGCCTCCTGCGTGATCGGGTCCTTGTTCATAAAGAATGCGTAGTGGCCGTGCCTCATTGATTGATTAGAGCTCTGTGCTGCACCCATGGGCTGTGGGTCCAGTGCTCCCGGGGCCACTTAGCTCCGGCCAGTTGTCAGGACCCAGAAGGCACCCCTCCCCCGCCTGCTGCCTGAACTACAGGAAAGCCTTCCGGGGGGCGTCCCTCTGAGAGTCAGCTTGGTAGAGTCATCTTCAGCTGCCGACAGAGCAGACCTGCAGGGAAGGGTGACAACAGAGGCCATCTTACTTCCCCCTGACTCCCACTGGTGTTTTTTATTTCCTGCTGGTCCACACAGAGACGGCAGGCGCAGCTGCTAAAGCCAGCAGCTTACTTGATGGACGTGTCAGCTGTCTGTCGCTGCCGCCCCAGTTGCCCACAGCCGCTCTGCAGGATCCAGAAAGCTGTGGACAAATGGTGGGCATTCTCAGAGATACTGTCGCCCTGAGGAAACGCTCAGCCAAGCCCGTCAGGGGCTCTGGAAGACACTGCCTTGCTCTTATAAAAATCCAGCAGCCACACTTGGCAGCATTTAGCCTCTATTCCTGGAAAATTAGATGACAGTTCCAGAATTTCTCAGAAAATGGGGTGATTTACAATGAGTTCCAGTCTTGAGCAATCTGCAATATAGCAACTAGATATAGCTCCAAGTTTTTATAGAGAAGAATGTCTTTTTCAGATCTTCACCACACAAGTGGTCTCCCAGTTCTCGCTGTCCCCTAATAGCTGTGGCTTGGATTGGACACAGGCTCAGTCGCTGAGTCGCTGATACGTGGAGTTCATGTACACAGAGGCACCCACACTGATGTGTGCTGTGAATTATCCCGCTTTCTGCCGCGACTGGCGGGGGGTGGGGCGGGGGGCGGGGGTGTTTGCGTTGGGACTTGGAGGAAATGCATGGAAATGCCCAGCCACATCCCAGGTGCCCTGTCCAGGGTTGTCACCTTGCTCTCCTTGGACACTGACTGAGCACAGCCAGGTGCCAGACGCGGCTCCTGTGCTGGGGAGGCAGCTTTGCGAAGCAGACAAATTCCTGGGGCTCATGTGTCCTAGTGAGGAGGCAGACATGGGACAACTGGCAAATAAGACCATGGGAATAATGATAATAATTCTAAAGCAAATAAAATAGGGCAGCAGGAGACAGTGGCCAGGAGGGCAGGGAGGCCTTCCCGAGGAAGTGCCCTGCGCGGGGGTGGTGCCCAGGCAGGACTGGGCAGCGCTCTGGGCCGGGCGGGAGGAAACGCCTGGCCAGCGGGAGGGGCTTAGGCTGGAGTCAGCCAGGAATGAGGGTTCTTAGGGGGGGTTATAAATAGAGGCCTCCGGCCTGTTGTCTGCAGTTCTAAAATCTGAAAAGCTCCAAACTGAGAAGTGTTTTTCTTTGCTCAGTCGGAGCCGAATCGGACTCGGCCTGGGCTACATTCGGTTCCCAGGACCCTGCGTTATCTTCCTCAAGCCCAAGAAATGTTTCGTTCCCAACCGCATGAGCCTCCAGGGTTTTGAGGACGGGATTATGCGTGCCTTTTATGAGACTGTGGTAAAGAAAAGCCACATTCATTATCCTTCAGAAAAATGCAAGAAAATAGACAATAAAATGAATTCAGGTACAAACATCCAAACAGAAGGTTGAACCGTGCTTTAGATAGGAAACAACGGTGTATAGATTTGACATCGGCTGTGAAGACGCTTGTTGAATTTCCAAACACTTATTCCAAATAACTTATTTTTACTTTTATGATTTTTCTCCCCCTGATTTCTGAATTGAAAACCTATCTGCTGAGTTTAGAAGGAACACACCGTGCAGTCTGTCCTTGTGGTCCTGCCCTTCAGAGACCCCGGAGAGTGGGACTGCGGCACCCACCCTCGCTCTGCCATTTCAGAAATGCCGTCCGGGCCCCAGGCTTTCGCAAGCTGCTCCTCTTGGCTCCAGTTCAGATCTGTATCCCTGAGCCTTCGGGCTGAAATCTGTCCTTGTAGGGCAGGAGTTGGCACAGGACAGCCTGCGGGCCAAATCCCGCTCCCCGCCTGCTTTTGTAAATAAAGTTTTATTGGAACAGAGCCACACGCCTTCCTTCCCAGCTCATCTGTGGCTGCTCTGGGGCCCTGTCAGCACACTTGAGTGGTGTCTGGCCCTTTACAGAAAAAGTTTTGCCAGCCCCTGTTTGAGAGGCCCGATTGGTGGACGCAGGCCAATGTGGCCTCCCTGTGTCAGCTTGTCTCCTCCTCGGCGTTTGGGGACAGGACTCATAGCCCTCCGATGAGCGTCTGCTTGCCGATCACATGCAGCTGTGGGGTTTCTGTCGGGGGCCCGACATCTGGACTCCTCCGTCTTTTGGCAGCGTCTGGAGGAGCTGGGAGGTGACCTCATCCCGTATGGGCCACTTGGGATCAGTCTCTGGATAGGAATACCATTCCCAAACTCTGTCACTGGTTTTGTTTTTTTCTTTCTTTTTCCAGAGAGCGATTCTGCAGCTCTTCCGTTTTTAATCTCACACACCCACAATTTGGTAAAGGCACATTTTCACTGGGCTACATTTCCTTCAAGGAATTTGTGGACAGCAAGTCCCACTTACCACAGACCTTACCCTTGAGGTGAAGCGGATGCAACGATCACTTGAAATGTCCCTGTCTTTTACGAGACCTTTCCAGTCCACAGGACATTGACCTAAAATGGTTTTGCAAATCATCTGTGATTATAATTCTGCGTTGAGTACCCACCACTATTTAGTAGAGATGTTTTGTGAAGCAAAGCAGGCGATGTATCAAGTAGGTTAAGGGGCTACTTGCTGGTGATTCTAACAAGCCAACATTTACATTAACACATGTAGGCGTGTTGGTCTCTGTTCCTTTTCCTTGTCACAAGGGAGGGGACCCAGAGGATAGACGGGCGAGTTGTGAGTGGAAAATGTGGGACTTCACATCTAAAAGGGCAGCTGTCTTGCCTTGTCAGGCGGACAGGCCCCCTCACCCTCGCGGAAATGGGCCCGAGCGTGGATGCTGGAGCAGCGGGGGAGGAGAAGGAAACGGCCGGCTGTGCAGACACGCTTCGTGAACAGGGCGGCCCCCATTCCTCTCCTTCTGCGTCACATATAAAACTGCTCTGCTCTTCTGTTTCATTAAACGCTGTGCCTTTGGGCAGTTATGCAGCCCTGAGTGACCAGGGCCGGCGCACTGACTTGGACTCACTGGCTTTCTCCCAGGGAGGGGAGAGGGGGGTCCCTGGAACAGCCTGGCACCTGGGTCAGGAGGTCCCATAAGACAACCACACATCCATTACAGAAGTATTGACAGCTTTTTATTTTTGACAGGCACCACAGGTTGTGCTTCAAATCAATAGGTTAGTAACTTTGGGAGAACCTCGGGCTGAGATGAAAGCAAGGCTGGACCGTAGCGTTAGTGGCACAGGAAACGCTATGCCGTCATTTACTAAACGGCGTGTTTGTGGAATCACATTTCTCCATACTTAGAATTTCACCAACTTGAAATAGTCAGCTCCTTCTCTGAGCCACAGTAATTACACTGGCAGGAGCCCCCCCACCTCTCACTAGCGTTCCTGACACACAAAGCCATGGAAAGCTGTGCAGTTGTGTAATGGTTGGCGGTGCCTAACCTCTGACCTCCAGGCCTCCTCTCCAAGTGACAGCTGCCGCCTTCTTTGCAGCCAAACCTGGTCTTTGTTTGGAGTCACTGGTCCCTGGTTCTGAATTTCCATCAGTGCGTTACCTCTCCCAGTGAGTTATATCCAGGATTAGAGACCTGGATAGAGTCAGGAGACCTTAAATACTGCAGAGCCCTCCTTCCTGGGGTCTGGGAGGAGACGGGGGTGGGGGGG